GGGTTGGTTGGTAGCGACGTCATTTCATCTGCCCCGCTATAACACGAAAAATGGCGATTTCTTTTTTCCAAGAATGTTTTCCCGATCATCAACTTCTTTGTTCATTTTGTAACATTGACCAATCGGCAAGATGCAAAAAGTGACGTAGCAATAGATTCTTTCGCATTCGTTTAGAAGGGTTCCAAGACTTTATTGGTCGCGGGCCAAAATTAGCATCGGAGGGATGTTCGCGGGCCGGATGAGTGTAGTAGCTGTGGTTCAGTCGATCCACCACTGTTTCCAAAAAATTTCTGTTCAAGGAGTGTAGTTTTCGTCTGTGTTTTGATATCTCTAAGCTTTCTTATGTGATTGATAATTAAATTACTGCCCTATGTAATCCTAATACTGGTGCGTTTAATTAATTGAATTGTTACAAAAAAAAAAACATGCTTAAACCAATGACATTAAACAACATGATAGGCAACTCTGACGTCACTCCATAAGACTACAGGCAAAACATTGTATTTCATGATACGCTCCAATGCACATATTTCTCGTCGCCTTTCGCGTCCGTTTTCCGCTCGCTTTTGCTACTCGGCGTATTTTTTACGTGTAGTACCTGCCTTTTTGCGCCTGTAACGAAACAAAATAATCTCTATATCTAAGAAGTTTTGCTTACTTGGAAAGCTGGAATAACAGGCAAGCTGTAAAGAGCAATTCTGGACATCATAGACGTTTTTTTTTATCAGAGAAGATTACAAACGCGATAGCGGAAAGATTTGTGTGGAATATTTTGCAGATAATGACAAAGTTCAAAGTTAGTAATTTTAATGTTTGCGCTTAATCATTGAAATTTCATTTAAAGAGAGTGTCATACAAAACTGTGCTGCGATACAATTCCATAACACAAAGTTTGCACCTATCGAACTTGCTTTTGTAGGTGAATTTATTAGACATATTACATATTCAGTTAATCGTAGGTAACATTGCTGGTACATAATGCATCGTAGATAGGTTTGTTTAAATTTAGGAATTTAGCTCATAGCCCACTAATTAATATTATCTTCTATGCAGGAGGTTGCAGGGCTGAATTCAACTTGCAGCCTTACCGATCACCTGACGATGCTCATTTAGTTTGGCTCGAGCAAGTCTTCTTGAAATGCTTGTGTGGATGGAAACTACCTATATTTTTTGCCTTCCTCCGATTTTAGACAAATTTATTCTGAGGAATTTCGCATATAATTCTCACTGATTGTTGGCTGTTTATAATTCCTATTGATTGTGAATTCTGATTATAACAATGAGTTGAAAATTTTTTTACCTAATTTACTGGCACCTTTTTCTTGTCAATACTCCAAGCTGAGGTAATAAACATGACAATACATTTATGTCATCTGGAAGCAGAATATGCACACTAATTAATAGTTTGGCACATTGAGATAATACATCATGACAGAAAATACAAGTTAAAGATATGTATGACCATCTCATGGTAATTAAAATAAAAAAAAATTAATAGGGGCTGTGGAGTATGGAAAGTTCAAGACAAAGAAAAGAACAAATGTTCATAGCTCATAAACTCTCAATTTTGCCTCCATTGCTTTGTGAAGGCCAATATATTTCGAGTGGCTGAATTGGTTTACCTTTATGATAGCAACGATTTTGTATTTAATATAGCGAGATTATTTCAATTTAATTGAAGTGATATAATTTCCCAAAGCAATGCTTGAATCGTCTAGAATATATCAGTGGTGTCAAACTCATGGGTTTTCGAGAGCCGCATTGCATTTTGAAAATTGTAAAAAGAGCCGCAAACAGTTTTTGATAATGTATACTTAAAAGATATTTTTAAGATAGTTTTAGTTTGTGACATATATTGTGATGCAACTAAACAGTTGGATTAAGTTTTATTATTTTCTTCAATTTCAAATGCAATTACATATTAATATTTGCATTCCACTATTATTGCAACATTTGCAAGTTACAGTATTTATTATAAAAAATCGTAAAATTCTATGTACAACCATCAAAATCATTTTTGAACAAGCTTTGAATAAGGAAAGAATAATACATACACTAAAAATAACTTAATCTAAATATATGAACCTAAAATTAACAAAAATACTACAGTATAAACTCAATGTTTTAATAATTACATTTGTCCTGGCGTTTGGCATCTTTTTTGTGTCACCAGCATACTAAGGCCAGTCTGAAATGATTTTATAGTACCAACTCTAACTAACGAGGCCACATAATACGAATGTTTAATTAATTCCAGTAATGCAAAAAAGTTACTTTTATCATTTCATGTATAGATCAGTAAAAAAACAAATGACAGATTTTTTCGACAAGACATTTCGCACTACATTGCGTGGCATAGGATTGCTTGAATTATTATTGATATTGATTTTTAGTATCTAAGTCGTTGTATAATTATATTAATATACAAACACATGGAAATTTTCTGTTCGAAGTTGGTCTTCGAATTTGTCATATTGACTGCTGAGCTTATTGTGTTTTTTTGATTGTATTGACGGAAATATGACAAATTAAACAATGTGCTTCAGAATTTTGTGAAGAGCAGAAATGTTACAACTCCCATTTTCTTCGAAAATGCCACCTTCTTCATGTACTTTGCGTTTAATTTAATTACTCAAGTGTTTTATTCAAGTATTCTTTTGCTAGCTTGATGTGTATTCTTAATTGGGTCAAAATGTGGACAAAAAAATTAATATTCCAAAACTACTTTCAGTAAATTGTTTTCTGTGTGAATAATCAATTTCACTTTAGAAGGTTTGAAAAATCTATTACATTTAGATAAAGAAAAAACTTCAAAAATACTATTACAATTATTGTTAAGCGTTCGAGGGCCGCACTGGAAGTTCTCTGGGACCGCGAGTTTGAGACCCCTGGTCTAGAATGAAGTTGTTCAAAAAATATATGATAGTATTTCATCATGAATGATGATTATACCCCTTCCGGAATTTCTTCTATAGTACTACCAAAAGTTGATGAACCAAATATAACACAGGTGCAGTGAGGTACCCGTAATCCTCATTTCCAAAGCTGTTTTAAGTATGTCTGGCGTGTTTTGTGCCTTTTTACAAATAAGACCGCTTATGCAATCTTACGCTTTGGAATTTTTAGTTATTTTCCCCAAGCCCTGCAGAATGTGGGGGCCATACACAACTCTACCGGAGGGTCAAATGTCTTTGCATGCCTCCATAGGTTGTTTTTCTATTGCAATTTTCTATTTTCAATTGCATTATATTTCTTGGAATCACACTGTCACTGATATGTCGCCAGACTTCTGATATCTCCCCGTCTGCTATAGTTGTCCTGTGAATAAATAATAGGAAATTGAGATTAGACGAATAGTTGAAAGTTTTGCTTTATGTCGGCTTAATTTCTTGATTGATATACTTACTATTTCTGCTATTGCCTCTTGTGCTGCAAGAGTCTCACAATGCTTATACAGGTTTGTCCACAACTTTCACATCTGAAGAAAGAGAGGAGATTTATTAATTTTCGTTAAGAATAAATAAAGCAGTCTATATGATTCAGAATGGAAAAGCTAATAAATCCAATATCTCATGTTTCATTTAAAAAATATTTTACTGAATTTGGTATATAAACCCACTAATAAAAGGGTTTAGTCAGAAAATTACAAGCATTCGTGGCTCCAAATACTTGAGAAATCAGACTATACAATATAGACCGGTATGAGTGAAATGTTAGGTGAACTTGTTAACACTTTGATCCAATACGCAAATAAAAGTGAATGCGTAATAGTATGTTACAATGAGCAGCAATCAACAATGAGTATATATCCTCACTGATTAAAAAAATTTAACTGGAGGTGCATGAACTATTTGAAACCATAAGGGGTAAGTAAATATGTAATTTCGGCAAATGGGCAACTACGTACCGTACTGAATTAATAACTTCGTAGTATTTGACAAAGGCTGGCTTTCCCACATGTACTTAACAGTGCGATGCCCGGGTGTGATATACAACAATAGTATTCACCTTACCTTTTACCGATTTCTTTTTACCCCAACTTTCAAAAATATCATTAAAATCGACAAAAACTGTCAAAGCAGGCACGAACACCATTCGTGCTACGCCTTGAAAGCAGCACACATCCGCTCGTTTTCGTCTCGTCAAGTATGTGCATTGGAGCGTGCTATCGAATACGATCTTCGGACAAAAATGCCGGAGTTGCGCATCATGTTGTTTAATGTCATTGCTTAAACTGTGATAATCACGTAATCTGTTGAACACTATTTCATCTGAGCTAGGCGGGCCATTTTAAATCGTTACGCGGGCCGGATTTGGTACGAATCAAATAAGTCAATCACCATATGGGTTTCCTAGAAGTTGCAATTTGATTGTAGTAATCAAAAATTGTCTAGAAACAGCTGTGATAAAATTCAAACAATTCATAAAATTCTCTACCGTTACGTAACGTTTTCTGCGAAGAATGCACTCGCGTCGCGTGCTTTCAGCGAAACTGTTGCTGTGTACGGTAGGCCTACGTTTCTTGTGCTAAAATGAACGCCGAGTGTGTATGTTGTGCGACTAGTACCGGTACGGTATGGGTACAAGTCAAGTTACCGTAACTTTTGTATTGCTCACATGTGGAAATTCATGACAGCAACTGTTTTGCTAGAGCGAGAGAGGTTTATTGCTACAAAACAAAGTCGCTAACCTCATTATAGTTGTCTAGAAATCTTGTATATTCAGATATTTGTTTTGCTATGATATTCTTGATCTACAGATCTACTATTCTGCTATAAAAAAATTTAATATTCAAGACTTCAGAAATGTAGAATTTATATTATTGAATGGATTTCGAATTGATGGGACAATACTAGTGAGCTCATCATAAATCAGTCCTGTTTTGAGAGCCTTGCTCAGAATAATTTGAAAATACCTCCCAAAACAATGCCAAACTAATTATTTTGGGTATTGACGAGTATCTGCGTACTGGCATATGATACATTATTCCATGTAGGCTATATATTTTATTTCCTTTAACAGTTACCTCTGTACCTGGTTAATACCCTAATTCACAAGACATTGAAGGAAATTTGTACTAGCTTATAATGAAGCAGGATTTTCCCAACCTGCAGAATGATGCTATTATTAAAGCAGCCAAAGGTGAGAAAGTGGACCGTATACCTGTGTGGGCTATGAGACAGGCAGGCAGGTAATTCTATAATTATTCTTCATCCTCTTAAACATTTTCTTTGGTGAGGGGGGTGGCTTAGTGATTAAGGCATTGAAGTATGATCACATTGGGTAACAAGTAATTGGAAAGATTCTTGTCCTTCCAAACTTATAGTAACATGCAAACGACCCTTGTACAAAGCAAAAGCCACATAAATATGTCATATATGGAAAATGATCCGAATGATTTCAAGGTTATTAGAAATCATCAAGAAGTATCTAGCAATTATAAAAGCATCAAATGGTCAAATAAGTATAAAAAGATGACATGAAACTCACTTATTTCATGATATATACCCCATTTTCGAATGGGCCTTTTATTGATCATCACTTTGTATAGTTGTATGTTTATCATGTGCTTATATAGATTTCTTTTATATTTACTTCTATATTCTTGTGTGATTTTCAGATATTTACCGGAGTTCAAAGAAGTTCGTGCAAAACATGATTTCTTCACAGTTTGTAGAACACCAGAACTTGCATGTGAAGTGACGTTACAACCTTTAAAACGATTTGATTTAGATGCCGCAATCATATTTTCTGATATTCTTGTGATACCTCAAGCCCTAGGAATGGAAGTTCAAATGGTTCCTGGTAAAGGTCCTACTTTTCCAGAGTAAGACGTTAGCAATCTTTACCTTTTTTTTTTTGAATATTCTATATTGGGCATAGATTTAATTGAGCTGAATAATCCAGTCAAGTAATATTTATTATAGTTTATATATAAAAATTTTTAGAAACTTTCGAAACTTACATCCTTGATGCACACACACAAATTCAAGCAATATGTACGTCTAACTCCAAACTCTGAGCCATTTAAAACGACTTCTGTTCCTGACTCCAGACTTTAGTTCTAACCCAAGGAAAACCAATTTCTCATAACAAAAACTTCATACACATGCCTTCCATAACTATCCATTTATTTCTGTTAATATTTTGAATTTTGGCTCCGGCTCTTGACTCCAATATCTATGAAAACCTTCCAATCTCAGACTCTCTTCACTCCACAGAGCTCTTTGTAAATAAACCGGTAAAATTAGTTTTTGAATCAATGTTGGATAAAAATTTTCACAGCACTTATTATTTTCAGGCCATTGCAAAGTCCCAAAGATATATCAAAATTAAATCAAAAGCCTGAAGTCCATAAAGAACTTGGATATGTATTTGATGCTTTGACATTGACTCGGAAAACCTTGAATGGAAAAGTTCCATTAATCGGGTTCAGCGGTGCACCTTGGACTTTAATGGCTTATATGGTTGAAGGTATGATGATAATAATTATTTGGTCTGTTTTTTTGTTTAAATAATTAGGATTCTCATGCTTGTTACTCTCTTCATGTGATGGCTCTATGAAGGAATTCCACTCTAGCTTACATGCATAGTTGAGGATGTGACTCAAATTAAATATTTATGAGATGTTTCGCTTTTGTTGAGTAAATCATAACAGTGTAGGTAAGGTGTGAATTTAATAATGAAAGTTAATAATAAGGCAATGTAAGACATTTTGTATTGCCTTCAATTTGATTCTGACTATCAGTGCCTAAATTAATTGCTTCATCAATACCTCCCAAATGCCGAGATACCAAAATTCGAGCAATATTAAAATCTTATATAATCTCCAACGATAGGTGGAAGCTCTTCTACGTTTTCCAAACCAAGATCCTGGTTGTACAAGCATAGTGAAGAGAGTAAAGAACTTTTAAATATTTTGACTGAAACAATAATCAAATATCTGGTTGGTCAAGTGGTTGCAGGAGCTCAGTTATTGCAGGTAAGGACCCACATGAAAATGTAATGTGTAAATATTACCCAAATTTCAAGTCTGATTCAAAATATTCAGTGTATTTGACGAAGAATTTCTACACCCAAACCTATCAAACTCATGATTCGCCGCCCTGTTTCAAATAACTCCCAACTCTGCAGGCCTCATATCTTGTATAAAAGTATCTAGTTTTGTTTCCAGCACGTCTCCAACATGTATTTTCAAAGCCATTTTGAATAATAAAACCCAACATACAAAAAGGAATTAAGATACCATAGTCAAAAATTGACCAAATATTGTCAATTTACTTTAAATTTGCTCATGCCTCCAGAGAACCACTCCATGGCCCATGAAAAGGATGATGGCCCAGTGCACTAAATTATGATATCAATTATTACTAAATGAATTTGTTAGTGATAGGCAATGAATGGTTCCTGTGAGTATTATTGCTGGGAAAGATTTCATGTTGAAGGCTTGAAGCGGTGATGTGTCATGTGCCATGTTTGTTTGCGTAATATTTTACTTATTTTCCAAATCTGAGACCTAGTTTTATGTCTGTGGCCCTTTTTAGGAGGATAAAATTCAATGTTCAGGCATTTCAGATTTGTTGATATAACTTTTTGTGATAATGATCTATTATAATATATGTTTATGTGATGTATTCATATGCCTCCTTTCACTCTGAACAATCCTCTACTGTTAGGTAAAGAGATACTATAGTTTGGAAGAACGGAATTCTTCTAGTTTGGCATTGCCCACCCAATTTATCAAACCCTCGCTGAATCTGTGATGCAATCATAATTAGGTCTAACGTTTTGATCAATAGGCCACTGCACCCACCAAGTTAATTCATTCAAATATCTTCAAGAAAAAAATTACAGGTTTTATATTTGTTTTTTCACAGTTATTCGAAAGTCATGCTAGGGTTCTTAATCAAGAAATGTTTAACAAATATTCACTGCCATATCTAAAAAGAATTGTAGACGAAGTGAAAAAGAATTTAATAGAAGCTGATATTGAACCGGTACCAATGATTGTTTTTGCAAAAGACGCTTATTATGCTATCGAAGATCTTGCCCAAACCAAGTATGATGTAATAGGACTGGATTGGACAGTTGATCCTGTCCAAGCTCGAGAAATAGCAAAGAAATATGGAAAATCTTTGCAAGGGAATTTTGACCCTGCTAACTTATATGACACACAAGAAAATATTGAAGGAGCAGTTAAGAAAATGATTGATAAGTTTGGAACCAAAAGCTACATAGCTAATTTAGGTCATGGAATGTATCCTGATATGAGTCCAGATCATTTGAAAGCATTTATTGACGCTGTCCATAATTATCCTGTGGGTGATACATGATAACCTAACAATTGTGAGGTTGCTATCGAAAAAAAATTTGCATTGAATTTAAAAAATGCTATTTGTATATTTGCAGTATTGTTGACATATAAAATCTGATGTAACATTCCCAACAATTATTTTCACCGTGTCATTTTTTTCTTGCTATCAAGTGTGTATAAACTCTATCCAATACTCTGCAGAAAAGATCGAGACATTTTAATTTTTGTTCATAATAAATCTGCCAAACTGTGTGTTCGTACTAATACGCTGCTTCTGCATTTTATGCGATGTCTTGCACATTGCCTACTACCTTTTGATGGAGATTTGTGTTCTGAAAGTTCAATTTAAATAGTCTATTATGCTGCTTCCTTTTTCACTTGGTGCCTGAAATATATACATAAATGAGGATTGATTTATTCTGGGATGCGTATAAGTGGCTGGTTGGATTATACAATTGCTACCATTGATCAAGCTTTGTGCTTTTAAACGTTGGATTTCAATGATGATAGATAGCCTCCCTCGTTCTCATTCTTGCTGCTACTACATAAATGAAAAATGGAATTATTGTTATTTTTGGTAGAAGAGTTTTTTTTTATATGGTGGCCGAAATCCCTGTTAGTAGATCCCGAAAGTGCAACGGGGATACTATCTGTCTACATCAGAGATGTGCGACATTTTTTTGTCGGTATAACCAACTGGCTGCACCCCACAAAAAAAAAATTAGCGAGCGCTACAGTAAAAGGCAAGAAGAGAGAGAATGTGTCTATCACACTTAGCCCTCCACTGATGAAGGTACCGGCTACCTGGCAAAACGGCGAGAGATTCATTGAACAACAAAGGTAAAATCATGTATTTACCCAAGTGAGCACCTTTTTAAACAAACGGTTGGATTAGGATTTTATGCTTGTTGTCTGTTGAACACGCCTGGTCTAGATAGATTGAAGCTGATTACTAACAAACTATACTTCTAAAGTCCCAGATTCTGATACAATGGTAGACGGAAAGACAAAAAAAATAGAGTAAGATTTCATAAATAACCTAGTTTATTAAAAAAAAACTAAAATAAATCTACTTCCAGCACACCTCAATACAAAAACAGTAGGAAATTTTAAAAAAAGAACAGGTAGCATACATCGGCACTAAACAAAATAATTAATTTGATTCCACAAGAACGAAGCTAGATACTAAAACGAAGTTACTTTTCAGTATTAATTGCAGTTATAATCAAATCATTGCATCCCCAAATTGTCTGGTACCAAGATTTCAATTCTTCAAATGTTGGGCTTTCAATTGGTATGACTGGAGTATTGAAAATAAGTAACAATAAGAGAATCAGGGTTATTAAAGTTACACATCAGCTTTTTAAGTTAAGATTCCATGATGATTTGAGGTAATAAATATATCTGAACAGTACATTGCCATAAAACTCTAATAGTACGTGTGTGTTGTGAATAGTGAAAAATAGGTAATTCTAAACAGTGATTGTAAGAAACAAATGCAATGAAACGGGAACATAAAGAACTAAGATAAGTAAAAGTGTTAAAAAATATTTTCCTGAAAACTAAAATCTGTCTTTATTTACGAATTTATATACTCTTAATTGAGCTGCGACCACCAGAGTTGAAGCTAGCTCACACAAAGACATTTTTGTGGTCTAGCACTACGAAATTTTTCAATCCTTATCTCTCAAAACCAAGTAAGGATAAGTAGCTGAGAAAAAATGTTCGGAAAAACAAATAGTGTATATACAAATCAGATGACAAAAACAGTGATAATTCTAACGAGGCACACAGGTAAAAATAAACAGTGAAGTGTCTTTTTGAAGAACTAGAAAAAATGAAATGGTGACATATTTCTTAGGTAATTTTGTATAAAAATAGCAATTTTAGAATAAATTTTAAGCAGCAGATACAGAAATAGCAGCAAATGGCTGGTTTGCCCCAAAAGCAAGGTTATTAACGAAGTAATATGCTTGCTCATCCTCAACTATGGTGCCAAGGTTCACTTCTCTCAATCTAATATTTCAAACATAAGCAGCAGGTCATTTCGGTCAAACCAGATTATCAAATTACCTAAAAATGTATAAAATCACTTTAGCCTTACAGCAGCAAAAAATAGAAATTTTGCTTGTCATAAAAAATTTTTTGAATTCATAAAAATATACAAGAGAAATATTCTTTGGAATTATCACAAAAACATAGCAGCAGGTATTTCAAGTATATACAATGTTCAAAAAGAATCATAATTCAAGCATATTGTTATTCTTTATACCTATTTCTAACTTACGAAAGCAAATTTTCATTAGAAATATCGGAAACCTCCACCATAAAAGAACTGTACAGTATCTACAACGTGCAATAAAAGTAAGGTTCCCATATGCTCGATAGCCATACAAAAATGGCAAATCACTAAAAACATAGAAAAAAAGGGGCAAGGTGGAAATAACTGATAAATTAACTACAAGACTTGAGGTTTAGAAACCCATTTTAAATGCATTTATTTCTTCATAATTTTTTCAAATCAATTTTTTTCAAAATTTTCAATATTCATTCTTTTGTCTTGTTATCTCAGAATATGTCAATTAGCTATTCGATTTTTTCATGTATTTTTTGATCAATTTATCTGCATATTCCTGTTGCCGTGCACTGAGTCCAATGTCAGAATCAAGGTTTATTTTGTCATTTGAATCTGGCATGTCGCTGAAAGGTTGTTTCTGATAGGAAAACGCAGGGTTTTTCAGCGTTGACTGCATTTCTTGTAAAAACTCAAATCTTCCGATATGATCACGGGTACTTGATATGCTAGACTGTCCCAAAGAATCAGTGTCATCATCTTTTGAAAACTATAAAAAATTATAAAAATTTAATAGAAAATCATGTTTATGTGAAACTGTTAGTGGCAAATTCACAGGACTAAGTAAGTGTCTGAATCCTAAAGTGAAAAAAAACACTTTTAGCATTATTATACTTAGAAATGTGAATATTCCAGAAAACTACACAATGTTTATTAATAATTCCATACAAGGTTATCATAAACTACAATATTAATTCACAATTCACATCCACGTCTTCATGAAAAACAAACAGCATGGTGACAACTGCCAAATTAAAAAGTAATCAATCAACAATAAATATTTCTTAGCCTATAATTCGTTGCCATATTCAAGGCAAAACTTAAGCAAGTATTTACACATGAAGACAAGTACCTGAAGCTTGAGTTTACATTGCTAATAGAAGATGACATCATCTGAACTTTGGCTACCATAGACGACAATTTTACCAAACTGGTAGAAAAAAACGGGGTTGTGGAATCGAGAGTTTGTTGTTTTCACTAGAGTCGTATTTTCAAAACTCTCTGAGAGTTTGAATCCAAATTCTAAGTTCAGTTGGTTTAAATCGGGGGTTTCCAACCCTTTATGGCTCGTGGCCCCCCATTTTTATCCTTCCAGTGGTATTTATAGTGTTATTTTGGGGTGGTTGGGAACCGCTGGTCTAAAGTCTTGTATAAAATAAAACATGAATTTAAGGACATACCTGCACTGGGATCATAAGATTTTCAGGTTTGTTTTCACGTTTTATTTTTTCTTCTTTTCTTTCTATCATTTCTGAAACTTCGTTACCATAATACTCTCTTTTTCCAGAAACTTGTGATTCGCTTTTAAAAGAAGAATCCGGAGAAATCAAAGTGCCATCCTGATTCATTGATTTTGGTTTTATATCTATAATTTCAACAGATTCATTCACGACAGTCTGTGTACTGTCGACGCTTTCATCTTTTCGATTTAAATCGCGAAACATTTCAGGTGGCGACAGATCATAAGTAGAATCGAAGTCTATTTTATGATGAGAAAATTTTTCCCTCACTACTACAGGTATTCTATTTGAATTACCTAAAGATGCATTTGAATCTTTCGGTTTTTTTAAAATACTTTTGGGTGAGCTGGATAACTTTCGAGTAGGAACGTATTCACTGATGGTTTCATGTTTACTTCCTGATATTCCATTGGAGTGATTTGTGCCATAATTTTTCTCCAGAAGTGTTTTCACACTTTCTGTGCTTCTTTTATATCTATTTGCACACAATGTGGCCCCCATGAGTGACGATTTTTGTGAGGGTGATAGACTAGCGGACTTTACATAACTTCCAGGTAGATTTGAGCTTTGTTTCAGGTCAGGTGGTGAATTCTCAGGTGATATGATCCAGTCCACTCCTTTCATATTGTGCAAATACTCTTCTTGATATGCGCTCTTCACCTTTTCGAGAACTTCAACTGGAGAGATGTTTTTTCTCTTCATTAGCATGTTTTCACGGCGAGGTGATGTTAATTTTGATCCGACGAAACCGACATCCATTACAGAATTAGTTGATTTTGTTCGCCGATGTGCTGGATTTAAATTAAAAGAAACAGATTTTTGAGACTCTCTGCTCGATGAAGGTCTGAAATCTTCCATTTTGTTTTCAAAATCTTTATCATCAATTCTTATAGGAGATAACGATCTTGAACGTGTTTTTGATTCTGTACGATTATCAATTGTGTTCTTCCGCGATGACAGCAACGGTATTTGCCTGTCAGTAGGTACAACAAAAGTTGATTTTCCTTCTTTATCATCATATTTTTCTCGTCTTTCAATCCTGTCTTGTTCCGATTCCAACATTTTCACTGGAGTACTAGTCAGCATATTTCTATCTCTGCCTTTAGAGTCGAAATGGCTCAGCATGTGGTTGTTGTTATTACTATTATTATTGAAATCCCTTTTAGGAAGATACTTTTCACCATCTGAATATCTCAATCCTGACTCATCACCAGGTAAATAGCTTCCACGCGACGTGTGACGAGGATAACTCAATTCTTCCATTCTCATGGGCAAGTCTTCCTTCAAATTAGATTGAATGTGAATTTTTCTCGGCTCTGATCGACAGGAATTGATTGGAATCTGAATAAGAAATAGCAAGTTACATATATTACTTACGGTACATTCCAAATAAAACTCTAGATAAGTAGCTCATGATTAAACTTGACCAGTATACTTCTGGTTTCAAATCCTTATGTGCAGCAGGTCATAGACTTCAGTCCAGCCAAGGATATTATACCCAAAATATTTGTAGGGTCCTAGCAATCGCCTTTGTATTCTGAGCTTTTGAATTTTGTGTCATATGACAATACCCGATGGGTATAGCGCATATGTTTACTTTGAGATCCTATGTGTTATCTTTAGATTTACATATGAATATCATATTCAACTCCATATCATCTTCATCTTCAATAAACTTACTTCATCTGCTGATTGACTTCTCAATCTTGATGGAGCAGAAATTTCATCTCGAGCATAAAATCTTCTGAAGTCTTGTTGTCTTTTCCACATAGAATCTGTCATTACTCTTTCATGCTGGTCTGTAAGAAAACATTTGTGCAGGATTTATTTGAATGCCTGTGTCATAAACCCTCATTTGAAACTAGAAAAATAAAAGACTTGATAAAAACTCTGAACAGCTTCTGTAAAAAATAGAAATCTATCAAAAACAGCCATAGAGGCAAAGTTATAAGCAAAGGGTTATGCCAGAAAATTGCATAACAAGCCTATGTGGTAGTTATTAACAAATGGGGTTTCAATAAGAGTGAAGATTTATTTAAAAAAAAATTGTTTAAAACAACTAAGCAAGGTTATGTGCAGCGCATTCACTCAAAAATAAATGAGATTGATCTTAGAGCAGAGTTACGGACTACTACCAAAGTGCCAAGAGCTATCAAGACTATACCAAATTACAGTGTAGGACAGGGAAACCAAAACTACAACCCACTAAAGCATTTTGTCTGGTCCCCTGCTCTTGGAGTAAGTTGTGAAATTCAGTCACAACAATATACACAATTCAAACTTTTTTTCAAACTTTCTTTAAAATGTCCAAACTATTGTTAAAATAATACGAAAGTTTTTGAGGTATCTGCTTATAATATACATACCATAATCTTTAATTAACGATCTTCTTGTATCAGGTTTTCTATCCGTGTGATGTCTCCGTTCAACATTTATTTGCTTCATTACTTTCTTTGTTTTTGCATTTACTTTCACTCTATCATATTCTCTCAATCTCAAATCCAATAGTGCCTCATATTTCTCAGTCAATCGTTCATAATCTTTTAAAATATTCGTAGTACCGTTTCCATTTTGGCAAGCTCTGGTTGAGTTAATGAGGCCTGGAATTCAGAAGATATAAAATTTAAAAGACAAAACTGGTTGTCAGCAATACAGTCTAATCATATAATGCAGAAACGTGAATTTATATAGAACTCGAGGCACAGAACATTGGTTACAACTGTGCCTGAAATTATTTTTTATATACAGAAATGCTGTGTTAATATAGCTACTGAATTCGTAATACTGAATAAACTTATGATTTATAGTCCTAGAACTAGAAGGTTTGAGATTTCAAATACTGTAAATATTTACCAACCATTTTTGTGCGCAAAAATTCAGACAATTTTTCAAGTTTTCATTTAATGTAATTTAATTAGCAAATGACAAATATCTCAAACAATTTCAAAAATTCCAATGCAATACAGGTTGAGGTACAACACACAATGGACCTCACCAACACCAGGACTCAGAGAGTCCCTTTGAGAACAAGGTACAAGCAGCCATTGGTATCCATCAATATGAAAGGAACTACCGGTACCTTTTTTGAAGGACCGGAATCTTTCCGGTTAAGCACGAACCACGAACTGAGCAATTTATCACTTCTTGGGCGAGAAAACCATAGATGTGTAACCTACGATACCAAAGCAGCTAAGTATAACGCTTTTATCGAAAAGCCAACATACTTTCATGTAGTTGAAGTTGATGTCTCAGAATCTCATTTTCTTCTGCATTCTTTTGATACGAGGTTTCTAATGCCCATGCTTTTGTTGTTGATTCTTGAAGTTTCTTTTGAGAATCTCGTAGATCTGACTCCAATCTTAACATTGAACATATAAAGTTTATTGTTATAAACCTTAAACCAATTTCAATAGCAATACCACTCCAGTCATATGCAAATAGAAGCATAGGTTTGAGACTGCAAGCCTGTAGCATTGCAAAAGAACAAGAAAATCAATGTGTAGGTCCAATTATATTGGTTTTCACAAAGTTATCCAATCTAGAAAAACAGACCGACCAATGGTACGTCTCTAATCGAAACCTTATTTCAAGCAAGAAACATGCATGGGTCACAAAGTATTATATGTTAAGTTCTCCTCTCCAAGGATGTTTTTAATATCGAACAAAACAGGTCTTGAAGCAATAATATTTTAACCTGCTATATCAAAGTATGTACACAAATAATTTAAAATTTAAAAATTGTTTTTCATGGATAAATTTCCATTTTCATAAAATTTACATAAAAAAGTTTATTTAAACAGAGAAAACCAATTACTGCAATTTTCCATAACAACGTATTTGAATCTCATAATTTTGAATTTTGCTTAGAATAATTCTACTCTGTATCCATCATACTTGAAAATATACGTTACTTTACCTTTTGACATTTTTCTTTAGTTGTTCATATTTTTCACAAAGTAATAAAACTTCCTTTCTTTTGCAAATATCTTTAGTTTTCATCTTTTGTGTTTTGTTTTCCGTCTCCTCCATTTGTTTATTCACAGATTTCAGTTTGGCTGTTGAGAGATCATAGTTATGATAATATTGTTACTCAAGTGTACTCACCTTCGATAATCATCACAGATGAATGAATTGGATTTTAGGTTCAAGTGGACAATAATGTGTCTTATATTATAACACACAATTTTCATTGTGTAGAACAGGGGTGTGCAACCTTCAATACAGGAGGGACAGATAGAAATAACTGAGTGAAACCTGCTATCTGGTAGTTGCGGGCACAAACATTTTGGTTATTGGTTAATTAAAAATTTGGTCAAGGCATTGTAACGTCAGAGGCATAGATGAAATTGGACTCAAGTATAGGCTTGAGGCTTCGCGACGAAGAGATTGAAATTACTCGCACATACCAAATTAAATCGAAAACTCGTTTCGCGGTACATCATTCAAAATTGGCACTTCTCTGCGGGTCGCACAATTTTCCTTGAGGGCCACATTCCGCCCATGGGCTGCACACCCCTATAGCACACCTTTTACACCTCCAATGCGAACATATAAACCCAACTGATATTTGAGGATCAACCGTTTTTGGAAACACAGAAATTTTTTAAGTTCGCCATTTGCTAATCCAATTTCTTACAGCCTGCAAAAGGAGGTTGGCTCTGGTTTGATCGGGTGCTCTAAACACTAAGCCATTGAGACCACTTAAGCACTTGTTTAATTGTATCGATCACAATTACAGTCAACAAGTTGAGTTATGAATACAAATTTACAACTGCATACCATACAAAGTGTCTGTAGGATTGATAGGTGTTGTTAAGCAAACTAGGCAACTTGTATGATCAGTTATACTTTGATTCCAATGGGCAAAGATAAAAGCTTCTATATATACATTTTCAACATTGTATAAAATTGGTATAAAATAATAACCTATTGTACCTTCTAAACTTTTCAGTTGATCATCTTTGGCAAGAAGTGCATTATGTAAATCATCTATCCGTATGTTATATGTTTCATCTGACATTTTACTCTCATTGGCTGAACTTATACATTTCTCTAATCTTTGAATTCTAAATAAAATCAAGAAATTAGAATAATGAATTCATCGCATGTTCGCACAAAAGCGGTTGCTATACGAAGCAAGGCCACCTCTATCAGCTTGCTAAGTATAATAAGAATATTTTAGGTAATATTCTCTTGTGGAAATATCATATACATTTTGGTAAATATCGCAATGATATTTATAATATCAGCCATCGAAACCATTCATCAGACGAGCAAATAAAATATTATAGCAGACATCAGTAATAGGTCTATCATAATATTCTGCATATTTTAATGGTCTTAATTGAAGCAATTTGGTCAGGTGGTAAAATATGCCTGTTTTATAAAACAGTCCATGAGCACTCTCATACAAGCAATAACAATTATCCATGCCTTTTGCTCTCAACAAGGCCATGCCATGTAAAAGCAGCCAATGACAGCGAAGGATATGCAACAGGATACTATTTTGAAAGGAAGGACCGAATTCAGTCAATTATGGCATCGCCTCAAGATGTGTAACCCGTGATGTGAAGTCTAATCTCTAATGCTTGCCACGTCAACTCTTACATAAATATATTTACCGCATCGAATATTCACTGTTTTGTTCTTGCAAAGTATCAGCTTTTATTTGTAATCTTGAACATAAATTCTCAAGCTGTTTCTCAGAATTCTCTCTATAGTTCAACTTTTCAGATGAGGTGTTGATTCCAGCATCTCTTTTCTGGTGACAAACCTGCTACAAACAATGAGGATTCCGATTTACTAACAAACTTTCGGTGATTTGAAAAGAGTAAATGGGGTAATAATTTGGGTAAGCAATGATATGTTAACCAGGGACGTCCAAAATAAACTGGATATTAGAACTACATAGAAATTAATTATAACCTAATCAATATTTTTGAATACTTGATATTCAAGAATAATTTGAAATAGTTCTATTTGAAAGACTTGCATTATAATCGAGAGCACCTCAAATTTTGAAAGCTCTAAGATTGGAGGGCCAAATCATTGTATATCTTAACTTTCCTGCATTTACAAATTTGAACCTATTGCATATAAATTGACTTTTTGTTACTCCTGTAGTGTGTGTACCAGGTTAGGGTTAGGGCATATTTTTTAATCACATTTCTCTTATTTTAGTTCTTTACTAGTTCGGAGACTGTCTGTATTAGCCAAGTGAATATACCCCCTGCCCAAAGGTTTCAGTCCCTTTACAGATTTTGATGTAAAGTAGGCAAACAAAATTAATTCCCGTTACCTCCATATTGGTACACAGTACACACACTTCTGGAGCGCCAACTTTTTTAACAATTTGTTTAGTTTTACAAAGGTTTCAAAATGAATACCTGAGATATTTCAAATGAGGTCACTTTGTCTCTTTCTTTCAGTAAACTTTTCTCACTTTCATCCAATTGCTTCTTTAATTTATCAATTTTTTCTTGGAGCTTAATTAATTCCTGATCATTTTGTTTCAATTTAGAATCGCTTGTTGATACCGAATCATTCTCCTGGCTATGTGAAGGAAGCCTCAACATTCTGTAAATTCCAAACAAAGTATTAAATGAACTTAATCAATATTTAGAGATGTGGTTGGGGCGCACCCTACAACGGGGGTGTAGACAATCTTTTGAGGAGGCGTGAAGCCAGTTAAAAATGAAAATATTCTTGAGATTTGATCTTGCCCGCCTTATTTTGGATTATACATTCCTTTATTTTGGATATTTCGTTCCATTCACCTATTTTCAATGTGTTTTTTGAATGAAACATACTTTCGCTTTACTCTATGTTTTTTTAGTTACCGGTAATTGTTAACTTGCTATTTATGAGGTGGGGCACGAGACTTGAGAAATTCTATCAAGGTAGCGCCACTAAAAATTTGGAAACCACTGATTTAGGGTGTTCATAAAGTCATGTTACAATCAAAATTTCAGTATAAAGTCAACTCTCAATATAGCTCAACCTGATTAGTTTAATTTTAATCAGTGTTTGTTTGAGTTTTTTTCCTTTATTTAATCCTACTGTTAGTTATAGGGAAGTACATCAAAGTATTTTTAGCCAATTTAATACAGGGCTTTATGAACCCAGAGTAAATCATAGTCTACATTTAATTTAAAACATACATGAACATTTTTACTAATAACATAATAAGTGTCCATTTCTGATCAGTTAAGTAGGAATTATTCATTGATTATTAGCAATTAATTTCAATTTTAAATGAAATTTGTTTACTGGGAACATGTTAAAGGGTTCATTCCTAAGGGTGCAATAATTAGAGTAAATTATATTCGAAAATTCACTGTGCACTATATTAAAATAAAATTTAACCTGCTTCATGATATCATGCTGTGAAAAACTAAAGTTCCAATAATAAAACAATCTATGATGCTGCTACCTATTCAATTTCATGTTTTCGTCTTGCAGAGATAACATTGCATCCTGTAGTTTTTCACATTTTGCTCGAATATTCGCAGCATCATCACTACTCATTTTTGTTGAGACATGTTTTCCAGTCTTACAGAAAGCGCAAGTTGATCCAAATTCATTACTTTTCCACGGAGATACTTTCTGAAATCCATTCTGCTTTGACTTTGCATTTTGAACTTCCCTAATAAGATGTGCCTCCCGAACTTTAGCATCCTAGAAAGTTAACAAACACATGCAAATTTAATGGAAAAATTCACTAATTCACCCAATCTATTACTCTCTGGTGGAAATGAAATCTGACAGTCGAGTGCTTAACTTGGCTATCACACTCACAGTGAACTTTCGAATATAATTTACTCTAATTATTGCACTCTTAGGAATGAACCCTTCAATTAACATTTTGAACCTCAATAATAAGATGTGCCTCCCGAACTTTAGCATCCTAGAAAGTTAACAAACACATGCAAATTTAATGGAAAAATTCACTATTTAAGACAAAAAATGAAGTTATAGCCTATATGCACAGGCTGCTTGCTCTTAACAAGACTCTGTACAAGCAGCGACTTTTATGAACAGCACAACAATATTTTGAATTGAATGGAATCTCACATCTGCAATTTTCAACCCAATCTATTACTCTGGTGGAAATGAAATCTGACTCTTGAGTGCTTAACTTGGCTATCACACTCACAGATTAGCAATATCTATTTGAAACTTGAGGGTAAATTTTGAGAATTCCTACTATTTGTTTCCAAAAGTCAGTTCCTTTTTGAATAGAAGAATTCTTCAAGCTGATTTAGCTTCTAGCAAATTTTATTTTGTCAAATTGTATGTCATATTGCATGGTCTACCAGAGGTTGGAATTTCAATCCTCCTAATTTCAATATTCAGAATGGACAATTATACTTTCTGGGCAAGTTGACTACTGGCACATCTAGTAATATTGGAACAGTTCGAAATTCGAAGTTTGTCTACAATACATTTCAAATAATTTTTACTGTCTAAATTCACAAACATATTAATTGTTATAATTTTACTTCGATGTTAAACCCGGATCCTATGGAATCTATCAAAAAATTAACTTTTTCAACAAAAATTTCCCCACGTAAGGTTATTTCACTCATCCAAAAATTGAGTACATTTACCCATTAGTCCTGGGTAACAAATTGAAAGTTTGATGGATAAATATTTTCTTCAGTCATTTATCAAAGAGAAAAGAAAACTTCTCCAAATTACCTGAAGTTCTGTTTGCAACTGATGACCAGTGACTGATATTTTATCGAGAATTCCCAGCAATTCATCACCGCTCATATTGTGACTTCCAAATGATAAACGGTTTGAATTTTCAGAAGCAAATGGTTTGGGTGGAGACAGTTGTGAGAGAATTGCAGATACATCGAATCCAGAAGTCTGGCTTTCAGATAATCTCATTTTTGATGGACTCACGTCCTTATAAAAATGTCTTCTCGAAGAAATGTCTGATACAAAAAAAGGGATTTTTAGTATGCGACTACTGATGCAAACCATAGGTTGAAAAATGAAACCCATAATTAGGGGTTTTGAAGAAATACTTTACTTTGACTTAAGATTGAGAAAAAGGGGGATATATTGGAACGTATTTTGACATGTTCTTTCAAGATAAAGACTATCAAATGAGGTATATTATACTAAAATTAGTAATACCAGATTTCACTCAAAATTGACATTGCTGGGTAGTATTTTCTACCAATATTAAATCAAATATTAAAAAAAATATTAATACAATAATAATCATGGATATAATCGCTATCTATACAACATAGCAAGGAAATTGAAAAATTCAAAATCACACATGAGAAATGATATTCAAAACACTTGGAAAATAAAATGACATTCCTTATATAAGTCAGCCAGAATTGATTGTTACATATATTGTAAATAAATCAGTAATAAACTTACCATGCAGATCAGAGGCAGATTTGCTTCCATATACAGGAGAAGTTACTTCAGGAGATGGAACTAAAATTTGGGATGATGATCGCAACAAATTGTTAGATGACCTATCCAATTCAGCACCAGAGACTCGAGCCTATATAAAAAGAAGTGAAATTTTGGTAAACATTGCTTCAAACTTGAAGAGCTCCTTCTTCTTTTTAATATTTTCAGATAAAAAAATTTGAAATTTCAACATACGCCCTTTTGTCCTAAAAAAATCTCGAAAATAAGAATGGCATTTCTGCATCGAACCAATTTTTATAGAAATATTCCACTGAAAGTAAATAAATATGAAACGTCTATCTGTCATAAAAGACTTACAAATATTTAAGACAAGCCATTTTAGTGTGAACTATTGTTTACTTACGGACACGGAAGTTAAATGGGATTAGGGCCAACAATTAAGTTAGAAAGTGGGCATCATTTGAACAATGGAGAAATTCTACTTTGTATTTGCATAACATAAAACAGTAGCTCTATCAACAAAGTGGTGAACTGCCATGAATTTCAAACCATTCAAACAAGGTTTTGAATATTGAAAGACGATGAGACTAAGATATTTACTATAACCACAAATATAAAATTGATATTAAACATCAGAAACACAGCAAAAAAACTCACAGCTGTAAAAGATCTTCTAGCAGAATCTTGCAATATTTCTAATGATTGGAGTTGATCATGCAATCTCTGTAAAATGAACAGAATCGTTTAAATTTGACTCATAGATATCTACTACCGGTAATATATCAATTGGGAACAATACAATAATTCTTGCTAACATTCTCATGGATTTTGAAAAAATATAGATTCTGCTGATTTGTAGCCTCCAGCCAAAATTACGATGTTCAATTTGCAATACTTTCTTGCGCATATTTCCCCATATCACTGGGATGGGTAATCATGGTTCAAAACCTAATTTCAGTATAATAATTTTTCACGTATTTCCGTCAGACATTTTAGGTACTAAATCTCAGTGAGGTTTAACTATTATCATTAATATTTGATGGAAGCACAAATGGTATGAGGCAGTGGGATCCTAGGTTTCTTCTAATTTCCAAACCATGATAATTGTGTCACGTCTTTCTAACTAGTCCTTGTACTAAGTAGGGTTAATATTGATTCAACTTTGTTATAATCCCATGATTTTGCTTTCTAATGAAACCAAACCCGGTCATAGATTTAAAAAGCTAGTCTGACACAATAAAGAGTATGTAATAAAATATAATAAAATGAAAAGTTTTTATTCCGATAATATGACACAATATTGTAACCGTACGTTATAATATTACAGTAAAGAAAGCAAAGAGCAACGGTGAATCTAGACTGAATAAAGTAATCATAGCCATAACATGTTATTACTATCATTAATAAAACCCCTCAAAATCTCTAACGGCTAAATCAGGTACTATAATTTCTACCTTTTCACTGCTATAGCTCTCACCAAACAACAATCCAAGTATTTAGAACTGTGTTTTATCAACACAAGAGTGCCATGGAAACAGGTTGGCAGACGTTTCAATACAATATATTGAAATGAATACTTAACCTAATTACTAACTTTTATTGTTCTCGAAAACAATGGTGGGTGGGACAAAACATACCATAACAACCCATACATTTTAATCAAATGTGAATAGAAAGCTTATTCATTTATGATTTTACCCACTATGAGCTAGCATAGTGAAATCATTAAAATATCAGTGAAAATGTAATTTTGAGATAGTTTTGATTTGATTGAAAATATTTTGATGAAAATGATGAAAAAAGAAAACGCTCACCTTTTTATTAATATGAGGCATTTTATGAAATACAAAAAAAAATCTGTCGTTCCATGCACAAAATATATCAAATAGGAGATACTGAGGACTAAGTGATAATGTCTGTCAGCAAAGGACATTTATCAGAAATTCTAGGGAAAATAATCATTTAAAAAATCTCAAATATTTCACTGCAATGATATCTTTAGTGAATAGAGAATTTATCACAATGTTCCCCTCGTGACAGCCATGAACATCACGATGGAGTGGATGTTATGAGACACAAAATACTAAATTCACTTAAAAATACTATTCTGAGACACCCTTTAATGTTGTTGTAGTTTGCAAAACTGTCCGGTCAATTTATTAAAACAAATCACAGACAAACTATATTCGAAATTAAAAACACTCTGGTCTGTACATATAATAGAAAACCGATAATCTGAAATTCTGGTTAACTATAACTTTCTATTAATAATCAACCACAAACAATTTAATGATAACAAAGTTAGAACCGCATCTCTTGTACAAAAATCTGTCCCACAATGTAAAGAGCTATACATTTACCCCCATAATTCAACAGCTTAGTAATAAATATTACAGAAGCCACAGCATAGCAGTGGGGTAATGACAAACTATCATGTTTTCAAACCAAGGCCGTTTGACAGAATCATATTCAATGAAGTCTAATTCAAACAAATAAATATTATGATGAGCCGTCGACTTAACAAAACAAACTCAACTAAGCCTTACGCAAACAGAGAGTTAGTACCTTCGCCACATTAGAATCTATTAAAGACAGGTAAATATAAAGTGTAATTTAAATGGGAGCGGTTTGAAACTTCAAAACACTTGAGGCTCGTCTTGAATGTTCTTTTTACCACAACATACCGAGAAAAGAACTGTATTTGAAGAAAATGTTTATTCTTGAATTTTAATAAAAGCTACAGGGTGAAAAATAATCTATAATCTGTTTAAAGCAAGTGTTGAGACTGGGCCATAATTTTGATCACATTTCATTAAAATCCTTTAGAACTTTAAAATCACTTTTCCATTTCGAAATTCAAAATCATTTTGAAAGGTACCAAACCGCGTCTTCAGGCACTTTGAAAATACTTCAGCAACTAACCAATGTGATATACAAAAATACTTAACAAATTAATAGGCCTTGCATGAGAGAATCATCTGTTGAATCAGATTTTGATCATTCAACATAACATTTTAATGTAGAGATTTTAAATACCCTACTGAATTTTATAGCAATTGAAACAATTTTTACTGAGGATTATAATTGAATTTTCAAAGGTATTTTGATTAAATTTATTGTTTTATTAAAATTAATATCAATACAATATAAGCAACCAAATTGTGGGATGAACTTGTAATTCTTTTTCGAATTCATTATTACCAACTGCCATTTAAGGACAAGAAATAAGTGATAACTAACAAATCATTTCAAACAAGTTATTCATTCACCAAACTCACATTAATTGCGGTATGTGATCTCGAGTGGTTCTCCAAAACTGCCTCGATTAGACTCTGGTCCATTGTTTCTGAAATATGAATAAAAGGTTTGGACCTGAAGTACCACTTAACTGGTCCATAAAGCCTTCAAATGATCCAAATAGTAGATTTTCAAATCCAAAACTAGGTATCCAATCAAGGTGTAGTTTTTCAACCATTATAATATGAGCCATTAATGGATCTAGTTAATCGAATGCCTAAATGATGAATTTAACCAAAGTGTGATCTCCTGATTTTTTTCATATTTGAAAAGATGTGTTCAGAGCAGCAGCTGCACACCTCTCATTAGATAAATAAGTGTAAATGCTATGTTGTTATATTGCTTTCTTGACATTGACTTTATGCCTTAGGGTTACATGTTTACAAACATTAAAAGCGATCACAAAATTGAGTTTTATTTGTAGAAAACAACTTTTTTTGTGTATTTGCTCCGTGAGTTTTTTCCCTGATAATTTGACTCTGCATGAACAAAAAGTTTGGGAACGGCTGATTTACACCAAAAAATGAGATGAATATTCAATTTCAAAAAACTTAAAATTGTACGATATCAAAACTATATTCTTTTAAGACTATTTTACACCAAATGACACATGCATGATGCATGTGTATCTATATTTGAAATATCAATAATAATATGACTAGAATAATTAAATAAAATTATTAATATTATTACTCATACCTAACTTTCAAGTATCCATGAGTAAGAATAATTATCACAGTTTGAATTGGTTGTATCCATCACAAGGAAACAACTAAGCTCACACATTGTACTAGAATCCTTACAACCTGACTAGTAGCTGCAAAAACAAAAATCTTCACCATTCTGCCATTGCACAAAGTTTTAATAGCATGAGTTTGAACAAATTATATTAAAGAGGAAACTATAATTATTTTGTGTAATTCTTTAATGACACATGTTGAGTATAAATACACAAGGATTTACTATGATTTGCTTCAAATTCATGAAGTTTGTTCTGAGGATAACTGCAAAAAATCGTGATAAAAATCCAATTACAGAATTACTGGATTTTAAACAACAAGTTCTGAAATTTAGGTACAGATGTACCACTTGCAAATGCAAGATAGTTATATTTCAAGCTTCCTCCAATAAGGAGAGAATATCATTTTTATCCCAGGAAAAGTAACGCGATGAGACATATCACAGTATTATGGCATACCAGCATACAGGATGGTTATGTGCGAGAGGATTGCTGAAATCCTCGGCGCCGTAGGGCGGTTCACGTAACCGCTGGTCGGTTATGGTTTCCTTCACCATCAAGTCCATGCTTCCGAAAACAAATAACTAACTAATCCCATAACCGACATGGAATGGTAACTGGACGAGAGGCCGTGGATCCCCATATGGTCAAGCCATCTTATCGGCTTTCCTCTTCCCCGGGATAAACATGTAAATCTTATCCTTTACTGCTTTATCCTCAAGACCAGAAGAGCATCCTCGACTAATACGAGTATCCGAATATCATAAAGGTAAACTGGCAGACATTGCAAAGACCAGAAAATTGATGAATTTACATATTTCTGTATTTATAACACCTTGTCGCCATTCTGCCATCTGAATATTCATAAAGGTAGTCTGGCAGGCATTCCAGCATTTAATTCAGGCATTACAAAGACCAGAAAACAGATATATTTATTATACCACCTCGCCGCCTAGTGCAGTAGTACAGTCGCAATTTCCCGATTCTGAAATACTATAATTGACACCCAAAGAAAGTCCAGTATACCATACTGCCATATTTTTAACACAAATGGCAGATTGGATATTCTGATGTCACTGTCCAGCGTCTGAATGTAGAGACAGAGAGCCGCAAACTACAAAAATTGTTCAGCAATTGCAACGTGCAACCATTCACTCCAAGCATCGACATGCTGACATGCTAGGAAAAACAAATACCCCGCGGTTTTACAAAAACAAATGGAGGAATTGCAATGTTTTGCTGCTTGCCCTGGTGTTCTGTCCGTCATTCTAGCTCTTCCTGCAAATGACTCTTCTGTAATCTACTAATCTACCGTGATATACGATTTAATAATTTATTTTCAACTCCGCAATGCAGCCAAATTAGAAAAATATGAAAATTTCCAAAACTTTGAATGAAGGCTAACTGTGCGGATTTACGAGATATAGTAAAACATTTATGCTTACCTATTCTCTTACCTCAGTACCATACGGCCGTAATTAATTTTAATTTAAACTACTTATACTGATCGATAATATTTGATATAACCTGGACTCTAATTTGGCTAGTTTGGACTATGCTTCTTCGTGCAGCATTAATACGAGTGGTCGCCTAAAATGAACAAATAAACTGCGCATTAGGAAAAGTTAGGTCACATTAGGAATGGCGCATTATCAACGATACGGGTACATTATCAACTACGCATTTGGAATAATGCGTGGTTGCATTAAGAAAGGGGCTTCTTCAACAATGAGGACGCATCAATATGGCACAATATTACCAATCTATTCATCAATTTTACTATTGTTTGTGAATTCCATAATTACCCTAACCCGAAACTTCAGAAAAGAAGCAGCAGTGATTTGATACCACTTAGGACTTGACTTTCCTGGGACTCGGACTGACGACGTGCCACTGTGTTTTAATAGATTACTGTATTTGGATCAACTGAAGAATCTCCCCCCGTATTCACCAGGTCAAATAAAGGATCAACTTGTATTATCGGCTTAGGTGGGTTGGGGGAAGGGGATATTCTTCAGTTGGGATACGGGATCAACTGAAGAATCTCCAACCCAACTAAAACCAATTGAAGAATTTCTCCCAGGTGAGTCCAACCAACGGGTGAGTCCAACCAGGCGGGTCCGGGGGAGGGGGATTCTTCAGTTTATCCCTTTATTTCTGAAATTAATTAATCATTCAAATTCGTGATATATAGCACCACTGTTTTTATGGAGTATGTTTTATGTATGGGGTTTATGTTTTTTTTGAACAAGGTCTGAACAAGGAGTTACCCTAACATCTACTATGCATTTTAAAAAGATGAAATTTACGTTATGTATAGAACTATTACATTGAATACAGCCATAGTATAAAACGCCTCCATCTTCTGATAAGGAGCTTCACAACTTCCCCGTAGCAAAGTGCTCTTCAACCGGGTATACGGTATACCCAAGTGTATACCGGACCATTAGTTGGATATACAACTGATAAAGGGTATACGAAGGGTGTACAACTTAAGTCAAGGATCCTAAACTATAATATAATAAATTATAAAATATTCAAGCGGAGACAACAATGCAAACGAGGAGCACATGAAATATAAAATGTCATTTACGCAAAGAACCGACGTGAGCACATTGTTACATCACAAATTATATAGATGATGCGGTCACGTGCCTGATTCAGATTCAGATATTTATTTTTCGTCGTGCAAAAACATTGTACATTTAAACAAATGGTAAAAATTAAATAAATACATTGAAAGAAAGAGGTACAATATTTGGACTGCAATAGACGAGGGATCGCGAAAAGACTATCAAAAGTCATCATGTCAGCGACACCATTATAGAAGCAGATTAAGTCAAACAATACAGAAATAAATCAGCAAAAATAAATGAAACAATTTGGGAACTAAAATGTACGTGAGAACAGAAGATTCGATTAAATAGAAAAAAGCATTGACGAATTTAAACAACTCAACGCCATGCTCCACCGAGCACGCCAACAACAAAGAAATTGCTGACGTGCGTGACGCAGCATAATGTTGTTGACTACTTGGGGAATTCCCTGCAGCAGCAGCAGTGGAACTACTAATATAACCAATGAATTATGATTAAGAAAAAGACATATTCAATTTATTTTGGATTGCAAAGAGCACATATATATTGGAAAATATTAAACGACATATGTGAACTACAATGGATGAAAGCATATTAAAGAAGCAATGACTATTAGAGGTAACTAAAGTTTTTGAATTTTGTCTTTGTTATAAGAGTTCATAATACAGTTATTTTGTGAAGTGACTTTCATAAGGAGCACATGCTATTAAATAATAAAATAGCAGTAATGGAAATCAATAAGGTGAAAGGATACCTAGCTTATTATAGAATCTTGAGCAAATAAAGGTAAGAAACACAAGTGCTTTGTGAGAGAAAGTCATGCTCTGTGAGCAGCACATACTATTGGAGTATACCACAGTATTGAAGAGCAAATAAAATAATAATAATACAAGGATAGTGATAGCATATCATGAGAATAATGACAAGATGAAGGTAACACCCATAATTTGAAAAAAGTGAGTTTCAAACAGTCTGAGATACATTTCAACTCTGCCAGCCTACTGACAGATATAAGAATCTAAGTAAAGAAATTTTAGTGCTTTTTTGAATGAATTATAAGTCTTAGAGCGAAGTGTGTCTTGGAGCGTATTCCAGAGTTTCACACCGATGAATTTAATAGAGCTTTGTGAACGATTGGTAGAAAAGCGAGGCACATGGTATGAGCTATTGGCAGCGGAACGAGTTGAATGAGAGTGAACACTCATCTGTTTGACAAAATAGTATTTAAAAGCCATAGGCAGTTTATTGTTTAGGTGTTGGTGCATGAGTTTCAGTATCTCGATTTTATAAATGTCTGACATTTTGATTATTTGATTCTTATGGTAAAGAGGATCTAATCTTGACATTGGTCCAGCATGGGTCAAAGCACGGATAGCCCTGTTCTGTAATACTTCAATCCGGTGTAACAAAGTTTTATTAGCTGATCCCCAAGCTATAATACCATATTGCAAATGAGATTGAAACAGAGCGAAGTATATCATGCGTAACGTAGACAAAGAAGTATAACGCCTAAGCCGATAAAGCATTCCTACCGCCTTGGCTAATTTAACAGCAGTGTTGGTTATTTGAATGTCCCATTGCAGTTTGTTATCAATGTGGATGCCAAGATATTTGAATGAGCTAACGTTGTCAAGAATAGTTCCTTCAATCTCAATTTTCACAGATGTCTGTGATTTGGATTTACTTGGAGCAAACAACATAGTTTTTGATTTATTTACATTTAATGTTAATTTGTTTTGTTTCATCCAATTTGCTACTTTTCTTATTTCAGTGTTCACTCTGGACTGAAGCACATCCGGAGACTTGTCGCTATCTAGAAGATTGGAATCATCAGCAAATAATTTTGTAAATAATGAGGAGCTGTGTGCAAGATCGTTGATGAAAATAAGGAATAATGTCGGGGCCAAGCATGATCCTTGTGGGACTCCATGAGTCACATGTAAGGTGGGGGAACAGTATGAACCCATTTGAACAAATTGTGTTCTATTTGTCAGGTAATTTGCCAGGAGTTGGCTCGCTACTCCTCTAATTCCATAATGCCACAGCTTATAGACTAAGATTTGGTGATTAACAGTGTCAAAAGCTTTCTTAAGATCTAAGAAAGTTGCACTAATATATTCTTTTTTCTCTAATTTATCGTATATATGGGATATAGTGTCTAGAATTGCATGCGAAGTGGAATGTTTGGCTTGAAAACCAAACTGTGATTTATTAAGTACACTATGTTTTGTGAAAAAATCCATTAGCCTCCTATTAATTAAGCGTTCGAATACCTTGTTAATAGCAGATAGAATAGATATGGGTCTATAATTTGATACATGTTTTGTATTACCAGATTTAAAGATCGGAATGACTCTGGCGATTTTCAATGAAGATGGGAAAATGCCTAATCGAAGCGAGCTGTTAAAGAACTCTGTCAGACATGGTGATAATATATCTGCAACATATCTGAGAAAGCGACTGGGAATGCCGTCTGCCCCAATTGCCTTCCCGACCCGCAGGGTAGCTAATTCTATAGTTAGTTCGTTCATCGTTGCTGGACTCAAGAATATGGATTGGTTTACTCGTTTGCCAAGGTAAATTTTGAAGCCATCCATGTCATTACCGAACTTTTCAGAAAGAGCGGAACCAACAGTAGAAAAATACTTATTAAATTCTTGCGCGATCAAATGATTATCATTTATAGTAATGCCATTTTCCAGATGAATTACATCAATATTTTGCCTAGATTTATTTTTTGTGGATGCAATTTCATTAACAATTCGCCATGTTGATTTCGGGTTTCCTTTATAGAAAGCAATACGGTTTTGATAATAGATTTGTTTAGCATTATCAATAGTGTGTTTCAGTACGTTGCGATACTTTTTAAAATAAGAGCATTGGGAACTATTGCCATTTAGATAATGTGACTTGAACATCTTATTTCTTATGCGAATACTATTGAGTATTCCTTTCGTAATCCATGGCTTTAGCTTTATTCTTTTTTTACGGCGCGACAAGGGTCGAAATGGGGCGTGATTATTGATTAGACCAACAAAAGATTGGGTGAATTCATCAAATATTGCGTTATAGTTTTGAGAATTCAAATATAATGAACGAAAGCGATTGTTTATCAAGTTTTGCGTATCTGAGCGAAACTCTTCAATGCAAAAAGCAGACATATCTCTCGTTATGATGAGATCATTTCTACTAAGTGGTTTGATGCCACTTATACAGCACATGATGGGATAATGATCTGTAATGTCTGATCTAATAACATAAGAATCTAATTTTTTATTTGTTATATTGGAATAAAAATGATCAATAAGTGTGGATGATGTTTGTGTGACTCTAGTTGGTTTGGTAATTAGTGAGATTGAATTGTGAGCAATTAGCATGTTAGAGTAGTTTGTAATTTGAGTGCTACTCGATGTTGCGAATAAATTTATATTAAAGTCGCCCATTATTATAAAGGGTTTACTTGTTAATTTTGTGAGACAGTTTTCAAATATGCTTGTAAAAGCAGGGATATCATTTTTAGGGTGTTTGTATATTATGCCAATACTCAAATTTTTATCCATATTAGCCAAGCTAATTTCTAACCAGAGATCTTCACAATTAGGATAATTTAAATGATATTCTGGGGACTCTGTAGATTTAACATCATCTCTGATGAAAACACCAACACCGCCAGATTTCGAGGCAGAAGTGACATGAAAAAATTTATACCCGTCGAGGCTTATAATTGCAGAATTTTTATGCAATTTCGTTTCGCTAATGGCTATAACATGGGGAGAAATAGAGAATTTGGACAATAGTATAGTAAGTTGGTCAATATTTTTTTGAATAGAGCGAATATTTACATGGATAATCGTTAAATCGGAATCAGATGAAATGTTACTCAAATCTGAAACTTCAATATTGCTACACAGGCAACTATTAAATTGTTCACAGTGTTTCAAACTGTTTTCACAAGTAGGATTATTTACTAATACATTATTACAATAACTCGACATTTACCTATTGAGAGTAAAATAGTAGTAATGGAAAAGGAAAAATTTACCATTAAGTATGAATTGATAACCTACTTTATCAAGAG